GGGGGGCGGGAGGGCGGGGGGCCGGTGGGGCGCGGCGGCGGCCATGGGGGCACAGGGGTCATGGGGGCAGCTGGCGTCCTCGGGGGGCCCGCGGGAGTCACGGGACGGGGGGGGCGGCCGGGGCTGGGGTCCCCGCAGGTCGTGGGGGGGCAGCCCGTCGCGGTAGAAGGCGGAGGGCGGCGCGGCCGGGAGGGTGCCGGGGCGACCCAGCGCCCGCCCCGGGGTGCCCATCACCGCCACCCCGTTGCTGCCGCCGCCGTTGCCGTCTTCCATCTCCTGGTCGTCGTCGTCGTCCTCCTCGGGGCAGGCGTCGAAGTCGCGGGGGCGCAGGTGGCGCAGGTCGGTGCCGCGGCGGTGCGGGGGGCTGGCGCAGGGCACCGGGGAGCTGGAGACGCGCGTGCGGCGGAACCAGGCCCAGAGCGGGCGCGCACGGCAGTCGCAGGCCCAGGGGTTGGCGTTGAGGCGCAGGAACTGCAGCGAGGGCAGCGCGGCCAGCGGGTCCCCGGGCAGGGCCACCAGGCTGTTGTTGAACAGGTAGAGGATGGTGAGGCGCGCCAGCCCCCCGAAGGCGCGGCGGTGGATGGCTGCCAGCCGGTTGGCGTGCAGCAGCAGGCGGTCCAGGCTCGAGAGCCCGCGGAAGACGCCCTCCGACAGCGCCCGCAGCCGGTTGCCGTGCAGGAAGAGGTGGCTCAGGTTGGCCAGGTCGGCAAAGAGGTCGTCCTGCGGGGAATGGCAGAGGGGTGGGCGTGGGGTGGGGGTCCGCTGTGCTGTTCTGTGGCCCTGCCTGGTGGGCGTCAGCTGGAGAGCTGCTGGTGTGGACCCCACAGAGCCCTGTCATGGGTCCTAGTCCTGCCAGCGTGGCTTGTCACCCTCTCCTGTGTCCCTGCTCTGCGAGCATCATGCAAGACCTCGTCCCATGTCCCATGCTGGTGTCACCCTGCTCCCTCAGCATCTCCTGTCCCTGCATTCTGGCTGCATCAGCACCACCTTGTCCCACATCCTTTCTCCATGGCCGTCACCCTGCCCAGTTCCACCTCTGTGCCCTGGAGGCATCGCCCAGCAGCCCTCCTCACCCACCTGGAGGTAGAGCAGCCCGTTCTCCTGCAGGTAGAGGTACTGGAGGCTGCGGAGGCCGCGGAAGATGCCGCTGGGCAGGTTGGCCAGCCGGCACCGGTAGAGGTGCAGGGCCTGGAGGCGGTGGAGGCCGTGGAAGGTGTCGGGGGCCAGGACGCGGAGGTGCGGGTTGTCACCCAGGTCGAGCTCCTCCAGGGCGGGCAGGTGGCGGAAGGTGCCCGGCTGGATGGAGGAGATGTTGTTGGAGTAGAGCCAGAGGGTGACGGTGCTGGGCCCGAAGGT